CGCCATGCTCAGCGCCCAGCTACCCGCCATGCTCTATGCTCCGCTACCCGCCATACTCAGTGCCCCACTACCCGCCATGCTCTATGCCCCGCTACCCGCCATGCTCAGCGCCCCGCTACCCACCATGCTCAGCACCCCGCTACCCGCCATGCTCTATGCCCCGTTACCCACCATACTCTGCGCCCCGCTACCTGCCATGCTCAGCGCCCACCTACTCACAATGGTCAGAGCCCCACTTATCCACCATGATCAGCACCCACCTACCCACCAGGCTCAAGGCCCAGTTCTGGCCTCTCTGGAAACCCTCACTAAGCCACCCAAGGCGCATACGAATTTTAGCCCCTCCAAAAACCCACCAGCAACTCAAACTTGGATCAGTCTGAAAACTCCTATGTCCCAGAAGTCTCTCCCAGAGTATGGAAACCCCCACACCAAGGCCATCTGCAACTGGTTCTCAGAAAACCGCCTACACCAAGGGAATCTGCTACAGTGTTTCTTAGGCCACAAGCCCCAAGAAGTTTGCACCCGATGGATACAATAGAAATGCCCAGGGGGATGGGTCAAAGGAGAGGGGCTGTAATAGCCTCGAGCAAGGGCATTCACTGTCAGGCAATTACCGGGTGCTGAGTGATTTATTTTCCCATCTGAAAGGACATGGAAGGCCAGTCCATTTGGGGACTTCTGTTTTCAAGCGTGACTTCCATGACTTTCGGTATAAGCGAACAGCCTCATCATTCCTGGCAGAGGCGTCCAATGTGGACTGATTCCCAGCAGGCCTGGAGGGACACTGTCAAAGCCCCAGGAGCCCCACTGTGGACACAAGGGACATCCCCCTCCCCCCCGCCCCCCCCCCGGCCCAGCACCCAATGGCTGGGCTCCCCGGGCCTGGCTGGCTGCTCCCCTTTGGAAGCAGAAATATTTCCTCCATTTTTTTTTTTTGGCATTCAGAAATGCTTCATTTCTGAGTCAGCTGAAGTTGGCAACATTTCCTTCCTTATAATTTTAGTTGCTTATATTCTTCCCTATCTTCCCTGATAAAAGAGGACAGAGACAAATATAGACTGCTTTAAGATCGAGAAATCAAGAATAAAAGTACTGGGAGAAGGATGGGCAGGAATTAAAGGGGGACGAAGTAGATGGGGGAGGGAGGGAAGGAGAAATGGAGGGATGAGAAAAAAAGAAGAAAAGAGAGGAGAGAGAGGTGATGGGGGGGGTGCCATGTCGGGAAGGGACGGGCAGAGTGTGGGTGGATGGCACACCCCAGCCCTCGGAGCCCCTCAGACACAGCTACAGGTCCCTGTGATCCGTTCTGCGATGACCCCGCCGTCCACAGCCCTTCAGCTGCTCTGATTCCCACCCCCTTTCTTCCCAGGCTCCCCTCTGGCCAGAAGACACTGAGGATCACCCCAAAGTGCCAGCACATCATCTTCCCTGCCTGGGGCACGTGGTGATCAGAGAAGTGGACACAACACAGACAAGCGTGCTCAGCCACCCTCGCTGTCCAGCAGGTGCAGGGAGGGCTCTCCTGGGGAGGGGGTGTCCGTTGCGGATGGGACCTAGGTCATCACCCAACTGACTGGTATCGGGGAGCCCTGTGCAGAGAGCGCCGCTGTCCCCAGCAGCCGCAGAGGCCTCAGCTCTTCCTCACACCTAGGGGAGGCTGGGGGGGGGGGCATATCCCAGGCACAAGGAGCCACCTGGGGAACAGCAGAAAGGAGGGGCTCTGCCTGACCAACCCCAGGAAGCCCCAACCAGTCACAGGCTCGTGGGGACCCCACGCTGGCCTGAAAGACTCCCAAGGGATTCTGAATACAGGGGTGCATGTGCTCACTTAGCTGTGCCGGGGACCCCCGCACCCATCCATGAAGCAGGCTACCCATTGGGCCTACTGGTGACAGCTGTGGGGGGGCAGGTGGACCCAAGGGGCAGGGTTCTGGAGGAAAATCGTTCCCAGCTGAGATCAGCTAGACCCCAAAGACCCAGGAGGAGCCGTGGTCTCTGCCTGCCCCAGCAGAGGGACGGTCACTTCAGTGACACAGGCAAGTGAAGATGAGGGTAGTGGTCAGGGATGGTCACCTCGGTGACACAGAACAGGGATGGTTACCTCAGTGACAGACAGAGGCTGGGGTTGTCACCTCAGTGACAGAGGGGGGCAGGGTGCGGACCGGGACTGTCACCTTGGCAATGGGGATGGGCGGGTTCAGGGCTATTGTTAGGGATCATCACCTCACAGTGGCAGCTGGGGGTTGGGGTGCAGGGTGCGGGCACGGGGTACTGTCCAAGGCTGCTGGCTGACACTCTGGTCCTTTGTTTCTGCCTGGCCAACACTAAACACGCAGGGATGGGGGATCCTTCTGGAAACGGGAGGGTTTCCCTTGTTCCAGGAAGGAGAGGGTCAGCGTCCCTTAGTGACATTTCCGGTGGGGGTTACAAGCAGAATCATCCCCCGGAGTGGGGAGCGAGGTGAGGTGGGGTACCAGAGAATCAGCCACAGCATTGTGGCAATGGAGTACTGTTTCCACCCACTGGGGCGGTCCCTGAACTGTCTCAGGAGGCCAATGGTTGTGAGGATGATCAGAGCCAGACGCCCCGAGTGTGGGCGTGGCTTGGGCAGGTCCCACAAGGGGCTGCAGGTCCCACAGCACCAGCAGGAAGCAACCTGTACACCCTGAGGGCAGGGTCCCAGGACCCCCTCACTTCCTGGGGGAGTCCTCTCCCACCCCTGCAGCCTCACACATGGGGGTTACAGAAGCCTATGTCACAGGCACTTTCTGGAACCGTGGGCCTCTGCCCATTGGAAAGAGAGTGTTCGCGAATGCTGGCCACTTCCCTGCCCATATGGTGTCTCCTAGCACCCCCCCCTCCAGCAACGCACATACACCTGCAGACCCACAGCTGTCATGGGCTGTGCCCAGAGGGGTACCCAAGCCCCTCAGGCTCCTGAATCTCCCCAGAAGGAAGAGACCATTAGCAACGGTGATGTCGCCCCCAAAAGACTAAGGGAAAAGCAATCCCTACGTTTTTAAGCTAAACACCCACCCATCGAGTCTATGGTACAGAAACAGCCTCGTGTCCACCACTCGCCAACACGGGGGCAAATGTAATTTGACAGTGGCGGAAACAGACCTCCCCCGCCCCTCCCAGTCACCCAGGGATCCATTTATCACTGCCGGTGACCACAGCCAGCAATGTGCCCTCCTGACTCCTGATCACACAGCGCCCCTGCCCCATCCCAGGAGGTTAAGCCAAATTGGATTCAGCCTGGGCAGCTAACGATCATGACAGGAAACTCCAGAGGAAGATGAGCACATTAAACGAGCCACAGGAAACAATCAGATGTCATCTCCTAGCCAAGCCGATGACAAGCCAAGGTCACTGAGAAGGGGGCGGGGGGGGGGGTGTTGGGAGGCTCGAGAGGGGTCTGCAGCGAAGGAGCTGAATGCAGCCGGACTCCCCCGATTGGCATCGAGGGGCACTTGGGGAGACTCGGCTAACAGGCAGGGCAGTGTTGGTCCACTTAGCGGCAGTCACTGCTGCTAATTTTGTAAGAACTTCGAGGTGGTTCCCGCTTCTCAGCGCCTCAGGCCACAGGACTCAGGGGTTCTGTGGTTCCCTTTTGAGTGCATTGGATTAAAATGAGTAAGAAATGGAGCAGGGGGTAACAAGCGTCCATGGCCCCTGAGGAGTCCAGGGAGATTCGCCACGCTGCCCCCAGGCCAGTGTGAGCGTCAACCCTGAGACATGCCGAGGACCACATGTGGTGCAGAGGACCAACCACTGTCGGCCACTTGCAGGGTACGTGCCCTACCCACTGCACCACCTCTCTGGCCCCAGGTTCCTCTCGTGCAGAAGGACAAACAGCATCACCCCACACAGGCCCAGCTCGAGGCTGGAGGCGCAGGGCACACTCGGGGGGGTGGGGGGGGGGGGGGGCTGGGAGAAGCGCAGCCGGAAACTCCCACTGGGGCGCATGCGATGCTCAAACCCTAGTGAGTCCGGACCAGCTCACACGCTCCTACAAGCCTCAAAAGGAGGCGTCAGTGTGACTAAAGAATCGGGGAGCTCCGAGTCCCCCAGGTTTCCCCGGGTCTTGCACTAAAATCCCTGTTCGGCTTAAGTTCATGGCAAATGCTTAACACAGACGCTCTCAGTGGGAGATGAGGAGGGGCACTGCAGCTGTGCTTGGGGGTCCATGGGGTAACCGGGGAGCCCATATGCGAAAGCACGCACGCACTCGGCCCTTGGAGACTGCAGGTGCCCCCAGCCATCGCCGGGGACCACATGTGGTGCAGAGGATCAAAAACCCTGTTAGCCACTTGTAAGGTATGTGCCCTACCCACTGCACTACCTCTCTGGCCCCCGGGTTCCTCTTTAAACTGAAAGCAAGCAGAGTGGTCCCATGGACCCCCTGCTGAAGCCACCATGATGTTGCTGGGTGCCACTGTTCAGTCTCCTCTTCCTGAGCCTCAGCTAGTCAGCGCCCAGAGCCATGGGTGACCTCAGCCACCCCTGCCAGCCATGCTCAGTCCCAGTCACACGAAGGGACCATGTGGGGGCCTCGTGGAAGGCCTCGTGGCAGGCCGCCCTATTCCACCCACGGGCAGACACAGACCCAACAAGGCAGCCGGGGAACCAGTTTCACCTGGACAGGGCTGCAGGGTGTAGAGTGTGTCCACAAGGCTGGGCACACAGCTCTTGCCAAGAGGGCAGGACCCTGAGTTTGACCCCTGCATGGCCCCCAAATGCCCCTTGCCTGAGCAGGGCTGAGTGGTACATATGTGCCCACTTCCATCTCAGCACTCCTGGGTGGCCCCCTATTTTAAAAAGGGGGTGGGGTGGGTGTTACTCTGGATTAATAAATCATCACCCCATCCCCACCCCACTCAGAAACTCCCTGGCTTTCAGAAGTCTACCAGGGGATTCCGGATGCCTGGTAGAACTTGAAAAGTGCTTGCTCAGTTCTTCGGACGAAAGCCAACCCCAAACGCCAGACAACGTACCTGGCTCCAAAAATATCCTTTTTCGCGAGGTCGATTCCAGAAACAACTTTCACTCTGAGAATACGGGACTCTCCCTGTTGGAAAAGGAGGAAAAAACAAAAAGGGTTTTAAAATGGACCATTGATCACTGTTTTCCCCACAAATGCAAAATCAGCGATTTCTTTTTAGTTCAGCAACGCAGAACAATTCAAGTTCAGTGCGAGCAACTATTCCTTACACCTGAATTTCAAAAAGTCACATGCCCATTCTCAAATCCTTGGATCCCTAGAAGTGTAAGAGCATACGGTTAACTAAGCACAGCTTTCATTCAAATTAGGGTCACTTGTCACTGAAAGAAAGTGTTTCTCAGTGATTGCACACACACACACACACACACACACACCCCACCCTGCAGCCCACACATACATATGAACCTATAGAAAGAAGATATGTCCAAATGCCACAGTGTATCATCAATGACATAAGCAATTCCTCTTTTGGAGTTTTGAGTTTGTGGGGTCCGCGACAGAAAGGAATTTAATGTGGTCACACAATTTCTCAAAATTATGGCTTCAAAACAGAGGTGCTGGCAAGCAACATGAATTCCTTGCTCCCAGACCAAGGATCATCTGGAAAGGAAATGGTCCCAAACCATCTCAGAAGCTGGAGGGTGGGGGAAGAAGGGGGTGGGCGGGAGGGGGGGGCAGATGGAGTCTGGGAAAGCAACAAGAGATGCTGGGACACCAGACAGATCTGGTAAGAGATGGTGAAGCTCCGCAGAGGGTAGAGGAGACAAGCACACAGTAAAGAATCCCCCAAAAACTTTCTGGCTAGTAAAATCGAACAAGCAAAAAAAAAAAAAAAAAAACACCCCAATTTAAGTAGAAGTATGCACAAATGAGCAACTTGCTTAACAATTTCCCTTTTGCAGCTGGATGTACAACCGGACTACACTTCCCAGAATGCACTGCATCAGGGATAGTCATGTGACAATTTCTAGCCAATGGGATGTGAGCAGAAATGATGAGCATTTTATTCCAAAGGAGGCCCATCTAACCCCTCTGTCTTAGTGGAGAAGATCCCAAATGGCAAGAAAGGTAAACAAACAAATCTACAGAAGGAGTGGGATTCCCAGTTCCCTTGTTCCCTCAACCATCCTGACACCAAGCCCCATAGTGATCTGGAAACAGACTTTATACCAGTCATTCCCAAGAAAATGAAGGTTGCTATAGCAGCTGGCTGCCTCTGAAGTGCCATAGACTCACGCTTCTAAAATAAAGGTCAATTATACAGATGTCCGGAAAAAGACTCAGAAAGGGTTATGCTAATCAGCATCCCCTCTGGGTAATGAATAACTTCTTTCTGCTTCTTTGCATCCCTTTGCCTTTGAAAACATTAAATATTTGCTTCAAAGGTACAGATATCTGTTTGTTTTGGGGGCCACACCCAGTGGTGCTCAGAGGCTACTCCCAGTCGAGCTCAGAGGTGAACCCGGGCAGACACTGTGGTGCTGGGGGCTGCAGGGACCACTGGCCAGCCAAGCCAGTGCCCCATCCACTGCGTTACCTCCCCTAACCCAGAAAGGGCATGTTGTTGGTAGAACCATCTCCCAAAAAATAACATGAGGGAAAAGAAACCTTCATTCTTGGGTGAAGATCCCAGACTTTTGTTTTCCTAAAGTAAATCTTCGATCAGAAGAGAAACCTTCCTACAGGGCTCACTAAGAGAAAGGGGTTCTCTTGCATTCTAGGTAACAAGGGGCTTTACCCCCCTGGACGGGCACGGGACCTGCATACCAGTTCACAGACCAATAACCAAACCGAACCAACTAATAACCGACCTTTCCCCATAGAACCCTGATGCACACATGTCTCACAGCGGCTGGGAGGAGAAGGGCGGAGAAGGCCTTTATTGAGCAATTACTGTTTACAAGCAGTGTTGCAGGAAATGTCCCTTTTCTCCCAAGTGAAAGGACAGGGAAGCAGGAAACAGAATGGGATTCGATTTGTGAAAAGAAAACTGTACACAGGGGGGAGGGGTGGGGGGCGGTGGGGGGGGAGTTTCAGACGTTCAACAAAATGTTCTTATCTCTGCTTCCTCCAAGTAACGTGCAGAAATGGGAGCTGCATGGCCAGGGATGTGTGACTAATCTATGGGGGGCAACTGTATACTTTCTGAAGCATTTTATGACTTTCATAAAATCTATGCATGACATTCTGGCCCCTGGTTATGACTCGGGCAGAATTAAATATTTAACCAAGGTGGAGAGGAGCGAGAGTCTGGGTCAAACATGGACTGGGAAATGTTGAGCAAGAAAGCTCAGGCAGCAGAGATGGGGAGGTGAACTCCCGGTGGGGACCTCATAGCTGCCCTGGCATCCTGCGTTGCTCATCTGTTCTCAGGGGCCGTGCTACTGTGTGAGACAGCTCTGTGCACCGATGGGGGTCATCTCACGCCTGAATTTCCAATTCTTCATCACAAGAGAGAGCAAGTGATGGGGCGCGAGTCACCAATGACAGTGGCTCTGGTCCCCAAATAGGTGGAACTCTGAAGGCTGGCGTGTAAGATGGTTGCAGGGAACTCAGCCGCCTGCTCATATAAACGCTGTGCCAGTGGGTGCCAGGCTTCCAAGCCCGCAAAGCCCATCAGGCACTTGTTGATCAGAACAGTCTTAAGTAAAGCAAATTTCACATTGCAACTCACCACTAAAGATGGTGAACACTCATCCCTCTTCTGAGCATCTGGTCTACTGGGCAGGGGGACACACCTGACAGTGTTCGGAGCTTAATCCTGGTTATGCACTCAGGGATCACTCCTGGCAGCGCTGGTACCCAAAAGGGGTACCAAGTTCAAACCCAATTTGCATGCCAGCACCTCACCCTCTGTGCTCTCTCTCTAACCCACATAAGAAGGTCATCTTCTTTTTCTCCTTTATTCTTTGTATGTTATGGTTGTGGGGTAGTCAAAGGGGTCACACCCAGAAATGTTCAGGAAGTCCTGGGGTGCCAGGGAGTGAATCTAGGGTCTTACTTGAACTATACTCCCAGTCCTCCTCTGCTCCTCACAATGGCAGGGTTCTGCCCTCCACCCCATCTGGCCCGGGACATGGCTAAGATGCCCTGTGGACCCCAAGGCTGGGGACAGCAGTCATCTGTGTGGACAGGGAAGGCCTGTGTCCAGGGCCTGCACAGGCTGTTCCTCCCGTACATAAATTTCCGTCCTGGCCGTCCACAGCTGTCCATATTTCATAACCCCAGCTTGTGTCCAGGACACCAGCAGACTCTCAGTCCACTGGATCCGAAGAAGATGATCAATATTTCAGGAGCATTGGAACAACTAAGTGCCCGACACATCAACTGGCTCCAGTCACCATTAAAACCCACAGAAGTGGGGGCTGGAGTGATAGCACAGCGTGTAGGGCGTTTGCCTTGCATGCAGCTGACCCGGGTTCAATTCCCAGCATCCCATATGGTCCCATGACTACCACCAGGAGTAATTCCTGAATGCAGAGCTAGGAGTAACCCCTGTGCATTGCTGGGTGTGACCCAAAAAGGAAAAAAAAACCCACAACCACGAAAGGTGCCAGAGCTGAGCCCCTGACTACTAGGACTGCCCACCCCTGCCAGGACACATCCCCTTTCCTCTCCTGCCCCCACACCCTATCACCCCAACTCCTGCTCCATCCTCTTCTCTCCGAGTCTCTCCCCAGTCCCTGTTCCAAGACCTCTTGACTCAACGGGGTCCCTACATCACCAACTGCCCCTCCCCGCCTTCCTTCCCTCTCACACCCCCCACCTGGATTTCCAAGCTACACATTCAACGAGAAACCGCCGACTGCAATGTCCCAGGCATCGTGCTAAGGAACAGCAGGAAACTGGACAAAAGCATTAACCTCCGCCTTCAAGACTCACTGTGAGGCTCCGACAAAAGCATGGGCCCAGGAATACCCCAAAACAGGGCTGGAACGGAAGCCCAAGAGAGAAGACAGCCCAGGGTCGCAGAGGAAAGTCTATCAGAGAACCCTGCCGACAGCATACTACCCAGAGTCAGCCTCTCCAACACCCCGCATCCCAGGTACGAGGTCCTAGACACGCGGGGCCCCAGACAAAATGCTTCCCCACCACCTTCTCTGAGTTTTCAAACATCTCTGCCTTGCGGTCCTGTCTCTGACAATGAAGGCGCTGACCTGTGATCTCTCCCACTGGTCCACACACAACCCACCACCTCCGACGGCCATCCAACCAAAGCTGCCTGTTCTGCAGGAAATGGTACACAAGAAGATGCACAAAGCCACCACAGTGAGTCCACGGCCACTGGCCATGGCCATGGTCAGGAGGACAAACGGAGCCAGTTTGTGAGTTCCTGTGGCCGTGAGAAAGTGTGGAAGTAGGCATGTGGGTGAGCACCCCGGGGACCACAACCCTGCAAGGGTCACAGCCAGACCAACTGTGCCCGAGGCAAGCACACGTGTCAGCGCCTTCAAGGGGCCCCAGACTTGTGCCGTGCAGGAGCGCTGCCAGTTGCAGTCCCGTTTGCCTTTGCCCAAGGTGTCCCCTCTGAGACCCACCTCCAGGCTGCAGTGGGGGCTGCCCGGTAACAAGGAACCGGAACCGGGAGCTGCTCAGAGTCTGGGCTCTAGGAACGAGGAAAGCCCCCCCCCCCACCCCGCCCCCGCAACAAGCAGGGAAGCATCAAGACTGGCAAAGGCGGGGGTCACTGGGGTGGGGGAGGGGAGAGGAGCCCCCCACCTGCTTAATCCTCAAACTGCGCATGCGTGCCTGCCTGTGTGCAGGGCAAACATTCTCTGCAGGGATGACCCGGCCAGCAGGGGATGGGGGCGGAGGGCGGGCTGAAGGGGCCACTGCGAAGCCAGGGCAGGGTCCCCGGTAAGGGTCAGCTTCCCCATCTGCATGGAGGTGGAGGACAGGGGCCAGGGGACGGCAGGGCCTGGCCGCAGGTGGGTCTGGGAGGCCTGGGGCAGCCCCTCACTCCAGCTTCCAGTTTCAGGGCTAAAACGGGGTCAGGGGCGGTGTGTGAGGCCGAACATGAAAGAGACAGGAGCACCTCGGGGAAAAGGAGGTCCTGGGGCTTCCTG